ATTTAAATTAACTCATGAGCCACTAGAATGCAAAACCAAGGCACTATCTTCTCTAAAGCTATTTTGTTGGCCCCGGGTAGTTTAAATGGCACCCCACAGGGAAATGGGTATTTATAATAGGTGAACTTTTTGCTTAGAATTCTGGAATTATATAAACAATATCAAATGAACACAAAAATAACCAGATGAGTTGTTAGTACTAAATACTAAAAATAACATGAACCCATCTATATAAATATATATTTTTATATTTATTGATAATAAAATTATGCCAAAATCCCCATGTTGACAGTTTTAAAGAAAATGCCTGTATGTATTTTTCTTTCTCAATAAGATTAATATTTCAGGTGTTCTGATACTGATTATTGTCTGCACATAAAGAGACATATATTTCCTATGAACTCGACACTCAAACATTTACATGAGCTATTAAGTTACAGCAAGTAATTAAATATCAAGCTATAAGAAAGAAAATAAACAATTCCCCTATAAGAATGTCTTAATAGAACAACAGCTTATTAAATGAGATCGTGATATTATACAATTATTAACTGAATATTTACATTGAATAATTTGTCATTTGTTCGTGCACTGTATTATGAAAAAATGTACTGTAACATTGGGACCTATAGGAAGTGGACATTTAAATTCTCTGGTCAGCTATTCCTAGGTGAAGGGATAGATTAATGAATTACTACCACATGCTGTAAACTTAGCATTATAAGGACAGTGATTTATTTCATATCTGTTGTTTGGGATTCTTGTTTGTCAAATTAATAGGTACTTCATGTGAAACATAAGTCCAACTTCAGGTGTAAGGACAGTTGATTAAAATTAGTGATGCAGTAAGTGAAGGCATTTATGCTTTGAAGCTTAACATGTAGCTTTCTCCATGATGTTCAGACATTCCATTCTCCTCTCCACGTGAGCACCTAGCTAACTCCCTGGATGTCAATGGGAGCTGCCTATCTGTGACGGGAAGAAAATAGGCTAGCTAAAGTTAATTATCAGGCTGTTTTCAGTCTCGTTTTAATGCCCTCTTTATTGGCAATGGCAGCCTGATATATAGCTCACTTTGTTCCTCACCTGATTTTCCAAGGTAGGAAACAGAAGGCAAGTGCTATGTAAAAAGGTGTAAGCTGTGAATAAATACATGCAGGGAACAGAAAAGGAATTCAGCAGCTTTATCTAGCCGGTGGGACCTTGGCTGGATTTCCCAGTGACGCAGTTTAGGCTGTATTCACTCTAAGCCTGTGTGTCACTCAAGACTGTGGGTATTTTGTCACAAGGCTAAATAGCACAATTGTTACACATTTAATAAATAAAATACTTAAACATATAAATATGTCATCCATTGGGTAAAACAAACTCTAAGTGGAAAGAAGTATATTTATTTCTGAACAAGTTTATTGTTTGTGTGTGTGTGTGTGTGTGTGTGTGTGTTTTAAAGGTAGTTTATGATTCATTTCAGAATCATAAAGAACTGGAATCTTTCATAAGGAGGTCATGTTGCATGTTAAAAGCCCAGATTCTACAGTCAGACCAACATATTGGCCCTGCTGCTAGCTTGTTCCTGGACCTAGAGTAGGTTCAATTAAGGTCCCTGTATCTCAGTTCCCTTGTCTGTAATATGGTAATACAAACAGCATACACTTAGCAAAAAAAAAGTGTATGAGAAAATTTAATGTTCATGTGTGTAAATTCTTAGAACTATGTTGAGCAGAATAAGTGCCATATAAATCCAATATAATAAAAGCCTAATATAGGAAGTGTCTGGTAAACAGGCCAGCATTCAACCTTTCAAAGTATAATATGTTAATGACTAGAAGCCCAGTGCAGGAAATTCATGCACAGAGAGGGGGTTTTCCTCAGCCCAGCCTGCACCCACTCTAATTTGGCACCCCTCGGGGGATGTCCGACCACCAGTGGGACCGGACTTAAACTGGTAATGGGACATCTCTCTAACCATGTGGGACCACTCACCTGTCTGCCTGCCTGATTGCCCCTAACCACTCTGCCTGACTACCTGATCACTCCTAATCGCCCTCCCCTGTTATCCTGATCTCACCCCCAACTCCTCTCCCCTACCAGCCTGGTTGCCCCCAATTGCCCTCCCCTTCGAGCCTGATCTCACTCCCAATGACCCTACCCTGCCAGCCTGATCTCACCCCTAACTGTTTTCCCCTATATATGGCCTATTCCTGGAAAGAATACAGAATTGGTGACATGAATTTATGGGGAAAAAAATGTAAAATATGGATGCACATTCATTTTGTCTCAAATTTTTGTTTTTGTTTTTTTGTGTTTTTTTGTTTTGTAATTTTTCTGTCAGTTTTATTTTTCTGGGATTTTTTTGTTTGTTTGTTTTTGGTGGGGGGAGGGGAGAGGAAAGCAGTCTAAAACTAGTTTGTGGTAGACATAAGATGAGGTTTAAAATGAGAGCTGCTATAACTTTAGCATTTCCCAGAAGCTGATGGCCACAGTAGTATCTGGTGGGGATGCAAAACACTGGGGTGATTGCAGCAGACTGTGAATGTCAAAGAAGAAACAATAGCCTATGAAAGCAGTGATCACATATTACCGTTTGTAATTTATACCTTGAATGAACTAGTGTGAATTAACATTTTGATAGTCATATTTAATAGTATATACTTTATAAAGACATTTTAGTTCTAAGAGAATAATTTTATATTGTTTCAACAGTGAAGAGCCTAGTTGGTATCTACTAAAATCCAGATTTGTGGTTGCAAAAGAGGAAAAAAGAGTACCAGTATACAGAGAATTCATTATGTGATCACTGTGCCTTTAAGAACACTGGGGGAATTTGAAAGCAATCTCTTTCAAAAGAACCAATGAAGGAGCATCCTTTAGGAAGAGAAGATCAGCTTTATTTAAAACAAAGCAGAACAATGAAGCATTTTTAGGCTGGCCACACCACTCCGCCTTTTCATAGTTTGGTTTGCTCTCTTACAAACTAACACCCTGGCATTCACATTAGGATTAAAACTGACAAGGCATCCCTTTCATCCCTCTCTGCCAAAACTCCTCACTACTAATAATTAGCCATTCCTGGCTTCCAGCCAAGGGAGTTCAATAAATACTTGAATGGCTTCTGGGCCTCAGCTGCATTTGTAGCTTTAGATAAAGAATCATGGGAGTTTGGGAACACCACACTATTCTGAATAGCATCAGTGCAGCAGCAAAATGACTATTCAGTCTATTAATGAATTACCATTATTTTAACGTATATTTTATATTTGCCTATATATAGAAATGCTCAAATTGATCATATTTAGCTCTATAAAATTAATTTCCTGCCTTAGAAAATGTGTTAGGATATAGCATTGTAGTATTTGATAATCACTCTAAAGACCATTATTTTTATACATTTCATATTGGTGTGCTTTACCAGGAAATGTGCATGGCTTTGATTTCTAGGAAAATGTTTCATAATATTCAGTGTCTGCAGAATAAAGCTATGTGGGTGATTTTTAAGAAATAATCACTATGAATGCTTTATTTTATGTACTTAATGAGTAAATTATTTATTTAGTTTGCATTGTTATCAATCTTAAATTTCACAAGACATACAACTGAATGTCTTGATAAGACTAAATATTGTATTTATTAGAAGAAATACGGTGGAGATTGGAGTTTCTTTTCTACAATTCTGTGTTTTTGTTTGTTTCATAAAAAGGAGGGCATTGTTATTGCAATCTCTAAGGGAAATGTATGAGATAAATTGTTTTAGTTTCTTTCATCCTTTATTCTTCAAGGCAAAAAGGAGTAACATTTCTCACTGGTAAAAAAGTGAACGAATTGTGCCAGAATAGACTCTTTTTTTTTGTTTCTTCCCCCCAGAGTGAGTCTGTTTTCAGGATACATTCATTCTCTGTGTCCTGGGGTAGGCTCTGCCCCTGGGAAGGAAAGGAGGATGTCACCATAGGTGTGCCTCAGAATAACGAACAAGTCTGACTTAGAAGGGTTAAGGTTTCACTTAAAGCCGCTATTCCAAGCAAATATTTTTACCACTATGTCTTCATGTCTTGTCTCTTATTTCCCAACTCTCCTAAAAGCTCTAGAGGCCCAACATAGCTCAGTGGTTGAGCTTCGACGTATGAATCAGGCGGTCACGGTTAGCTTGCCAGTCAGGGCACATGCCCACCTTGCAGGCTTGTTATCTAGTATAGGGTGTGCAAAAGGCAGCCAACCAAGGATTCTCTCTCATTATTCATTATTTTATATCTCTCTCTCTCTCTCTCTCTCTCTCTCTCTCTCTCTCTCTCTCTCTCTCTCTCTCTCTCTCTACCTTCCTCTATGAAATATATATATATATATATATATATATATATATATATATATATATATATATTTTTTTTTATTTATATATTTAAAAACAGTCTAGAGGAAGAGTCAGGTCTGCTTATTTACCTTAAAGCCCTAACATTAAGTGAACATTGATCCAGTAGCTTTATGGTTGATAGAAACACATAGTATATGTGTTAGTGTGTCTTATTAGTCTTGAAAGCTTTCTGTGCTAATTTTCCTAACCTGAAAGAAATATAGATGAACTTTTGGTCTTTGTTTTAAGGCCTTAGTCCCAGAGTGGTCCTCTTCTGCCATGTTCTACAATAAAATATGTGAGAGCTTGTTTCATAAAATCTTATTGGAAGGCTGAGTCAAGAAGATAAGTTCACTAGCTAACCAATGCTACCTTCCCAGTTTTTAACTTGGGATTTCACTTTGATGAAATGTGTATGAAACTTGACTAGAAGGTGAACCAGTTTTCTCCACTAATTTCCCTAGATAATGGTTTCATAAATTATTAAGGGAATTTTACTATCACTTGGAATCATATTTTCAGAACAATGGTATTAAACCTCTAACATATCTTTCTTGACTTCTAATTAAAATTTAAGTTTTATCAACATCTCTTTATCCAACAATTAGTGTAAGAATCATCACTTTGGATGTTGACCAAGAATTAGCACACTCTAATGAGGAATTCAGAACGTTTATTGCAAGAGCTGAATAATTGTAAATAACGTAGAACTGGCAAAGCAGTAACAAGGATAATTGTTTAGATATTTATTCTGTCAAAGTCATCAAACACCCCTCACAAACCGACAAAAATGTACTGCAATAAGCAATGCACCCCTACCCATTATTTTCCATTATACTGTGAAAAAATGTGAATTGCTATTTACAAAGTAATTTTATTTTTGGTAACAAATTAACTATCAGATTAGCAAACCTTTTTTTATTTCATTTTATTTTTTCACTTTTAAACTGATGTTGAAATGTGGCATTAAGATAACTTTCACTTCTTTCAATAAAGACAATTTGTTGCATGCTATTTATTTGTTTAAATCATCTGTCATGCCTTAACAAAAACCTCCTAAGAATGTTCAAATTTGGATTTGTTTGCACGTGCAACTGAGATCTTATTAACATTACTGATAGTTGTCACTCTCTTGGTTTGACTTAAGTGACGAGATGCTGGTACCTGCCAGGCATTGACCAATTATGATAACAAACAGTTAAACAGCAATAATTAGAGTTTTATCCCTTTATTTCCCCCAACTAGCCTACCTGGAGAATGTTCTGTTACATCATGAAGGCACAACACATTAAATATTTTGTGGCTATGGTCTAACACTTGTGTTACAACAACATTATTGTATATGAGGATCAACACAAACTCTGCCATTTCAACAAACTTGTAGACACACATTTGCCCAATTTAAACTATTTTTAAATAGTATTTTTTAATATATGCTAATTTTGATATATTAGTTTTTACTGAGTGACAAGTACAGGATATTATATCACTTTCTGAACAATAACTCTTTCACTTAATACTAATTAAGTGATTTGCTTTTGCCTACTTTGAAAATAAGAATGTAAAGAAAATAGGTTCTGAATTTTCAAGCTTTTACAGAAATCATTTTTTTATATAAAGTTTTTACTTTGGAGCTTTATGTTATACAGAATCTTGGCATTATAAGCTATCATAAAAGAAGCAAGAATCCAGAACCTTTTTCAAAAAGCAAGTGTTTGAGATCCTCGGAACAATGTGTGTCAAGACAGACTACTAACGCAGAAACACCTCACCTAAAAGAAACAACAAAATAATGACAGAGGCAAATGAAAGAAAAAAAAGAAAAGAAAAAAAAAAAAAAGGAAAGAAGCAACTATAAAACACAGAATTATGCTACACATTTTTTAGGCGAACATTATAAGTACACAAAAGTTGTTAATAATAACTTGCTTCTATTTACAAATACTTTAACACTGACTTACAAGTGTCCACTAACGTTGTTAACAGCACAATAGGTTTAATGCTTATCTTTTTAAGTTTTATTTGAAGTATAATGTCAAGTATAGCAGTCCCAGCACAAATCAATGACAAAAAGAGCACAATTCTCTAACTGGATATATTTGTCAGTCATTCTAATCCATGGAACTTTCTTACTCTCCAAATGCACATTCTATTGTTCATAGCAGCAGTCCAGGGTCAAAATAAAATGCAATGAGAGAAAAACAGAATATTTGCACAATGGAGAGATCTCTGGAGAGTTTAACCAATTCTAGTAAACAAGATCACGTGGCTAATAGAACTATCAATACCTTCTCTCTTACGCTGTAAAACATTGTATCCTCCATGGTGCTAACACAAAGTTATGAATATCCCTGCTACAAGGGGCATAGTTGTAGAGATCTATTGAATACATAAAGCTCTGACACACACAGTATTAGCATGTCTATTTAGATTAAAGTTATTAGGTCCCATACAGCCTTTTTTTATTTTTTTATTTTTTTTATTTTGTTTTATTTTTTAGAGTTGGTGTTCCTTCGGACTCTCCATAACACCTCCTTGTTGCTTATAAGACTTCAGGTTGGCCAGAGGAATGTCTGTCATGTGGCTGCCATTGTTGAAATGGCCTTCATTGGAGCCAAACTGCTTCCGGTCGTTGAACTGGTTCCTGTTGCTGTCTTCTTTCCAGGCTCTGGTAAGGGTGTGCCCATTCACAAGCTTGTCCTTCTTGACCCATTCTTTCTGGGGTGCAAAAGTTGAGAGAGGAGATTTGGGGTGTTGATATGGACCTAAGCCAGGAGGCATCCAGCAATTATCAGAGTGACCCAAAACCAAGCACTCCTGAGTGCACATCTCTGTAGCTTCAGCTAATCCTCGGGGGCCCAGAGGCCCATCTGCAGAGGACAAGAGACAGAAAAAATAAGAGAAGAAAAGAGTTAGAATTTTTCATTTAAAATTATCGACTAGAGAAAAAGTGCATTGGTGATCTCATTTCTCATGAAAAGTATATTAAGTTAAACAACTCAAGTATTTTTTTTTTTTTTGTCTCCATTGATTTAAGAAGGAATCAAGTTTCTTGTTACTGAAGCAAGAATTATCTTTTTCTTCATTAAGCCTTTGTTTATATTCAGGGGGGGAAAAAGACAGAAACATAGGTAATAGACACATAGGTTCACAGACAGATATGGCAAATAGATACACCCATGTGTATGGTAAATTGGAACATGGGCCCCTTTTCCTGCTCCAATTCCCCTTCCCACTCGATGAGAATATAGGGAAGGCCATCTTAAGTGGACCGTGAGACTTTGGGAACCTGGCCAGCAACATGATCTAGGAAGGCCACAGAGAAACTGTGAGCCTGGATTGTAAACAGCTAATGTTTTGATTTTACAGTTTGTACACATGCACATACCCTCCCCATGCTTTCCATGTGTTTCTCTGTTTTCTGTATGCTATAAAACTTTGTTTTTGGGAAGTCTAGGTCAAAGTAACGGTAAAACAATAGCACTGGTGGGCTGCCCAGCAGGGACTGAGCAGGGCATGCCCACTGCACTGGTGGCAGTATGTGCTGCAGTGAACTTCATGGGTCAGCCATCCATGGTGCACACACAAGTCCTAATATACCTATGTCTTTCACAGCCAGTCTCCGAGTTAATATCTTTGGAATCCACAAACAATACTGTGAGGTTTTCTGGGACCTCAGCTCTTTGCATAATACCTTGATATATGATTTCTGATCAAGTCTTTATGTGTCATATGCATTTATTTCCAAAATCTTAACATAAAGCTCATAGGTTTGATAGATTATGAAAAATAAAAATTTGTATGTGCAATATTAAAGAATATGTAAGTAGTATAACTTCATGAGAACAAAATGAAAAGGCACTACTTAAACATGTTATTAAAAATACTCCAAATAAATAAATAAGTAAATACTTTAAATGGCTAGATATAATGTTTTTTCATGTGAATATTTGTTTTTATATATGAGATCACATGAAATTAATTTTTCAAATATTTTTAAAAATTCAATGATTATCTTAAAGAACACTTCCACTATAGTTATTGCTAAAGGCACACCTGGTCAATGAAAGCATTCTGAAATTCAAATAAAGAAGTCATTTGATTCTGAAGCCAACATTTGCTTCCTTCTGAGTTAACCTATTTTCAAGATTTGTATTGTACAACACTATAGCTAAGTTGCAAATTGTATCACATGGAGTCTAATATTCAGGGATAAAAGTTATTGGAGATATTTATTCTTTTTTTTTTCTAGCAGGCAATCTAGAACAGACATTTTGACCGTGATTTCAAAAGTAAACTCTTCTGTGATTGTCCAATGATATCACCCCATTTAATGAATAACAACAGCCAGATAGTTAAGGAAAACACTGTTTTTTTGTTGTTATTGTTTTTTCTCCCTTGATTAAACAGTCAAGTGATAAGTGATAGCTTGGAAATTAGGAATTGATTTTACGAATGAGGTTAAGTGAATAGGTAAGAATGCCTGAGGCATAAAGCAATTTGAAAAGCAAAGTCATCAGAATAAAAATGTAGAAGAAAATGTAGAGTACAAACCTGCAAGATTGCCTAATGAACAATTAAAATAACTGAAGAATTGAAGTGTAGATTTTTGCTAAAACCCATGTTAGCACTACTACTGTTTTTAAGTGCCCTATAATTGTAGGGCTTCTATTATATTATCATCTACTTGTTTTAATAATATTTAGTTATTTCTTGCATGTTAAATGAAACCTACTGAGTTAGGCAATAGTTCATAGCAAATACCTGAGATCACAAAATACAGAGAACATCAGAATGGATACTGGATGTGAAAAAAGAAAAAGTGGCTAAAATGTACTTGCCTATACACTCAAAATTTAGTCATTTTTCAAATCTAAAATATGCTCTGTAGAACAATCTTAAAATTCCTTCCCATCCGACTAGTATTACCATTCACTCAAAAGCAAACAGTTTTATTTTGTTTAAAGACATGCTTATTACTTAAAACTATTTCTCTCATAAATCTCCAATGATTTCTTAGTTCCTGGGACATCTAATTGAAAATTCTCTATGAGCCTTTCTTTGACCTCTGAATTCTGCCCACATTTTAAAAGTTTGATCCAATTTCTCCCTTTTAGGTTTGCTTTTGTGTATTCAGTGACTATCCAACAGAGCTAATAGTTTCCCCAACCAATCCACCCTCCCCACAATAGGATCACAGGCTTAGAAGATGCTTTTCACCTGGCCTGTTTTCATTTAATTACTTACTCTTTCAAGGGTCAACTTGTTTCCCACATACCACCCAAGCTTCCAAACTCTACCAATTCTTGTCTCATCTGTACCTGGAGGATTTCCACAGATCTTCCCTCATTGATGAATAGCAAATTTCCTATGAGCTCCTTCAGCTCTTAGCTTAATGACATTTCCTCTTTTAGGGAAGGGAGGTTCTGTACAAATACCTGTTTTTATTTTTTTCTCTCCTGACTGAATTTAAAATCCATTAATGGAGAAAAATGACTTAAAAGTCTTCTGATTCCTCATAGTCCTAAGAAATAATAATGGTCTATGAATAATGTTGTCAATTAAAATCTTACGAGATTGAGAATGTACTGAAAAATTATTACAGATATTGTCCCCTTAAAAAGGAGATCTTATATAATAATAGATGCTGATTTCACAAATATCAAACCAACAGCTTCTTTAACAACAAATATCTGCCTTAGCAATACTTTGTGACATTAATAAAATATTTAACTTTTCTGTTAAATATATTCACTCCTTTCTAGACATCAATGGAGATAACATAATCATCAATTTGATGTGCAACATGTATGAGGCCAAATCTTAACCTTTATTTTTCTAGATCCCTAATAAGTATTAATTTTCTTGTTAATATCTGTAAAGGGAGGAAAAATAACTTTTCAGCTGATAGAATCAAATTTTAATTCAGTTCATAAAAAAAGACAGGATAGGAAATATGCAAATTTATTTTTAATATAGCCTTATCCAACATGCATTGCCATTGCCCTCTTATTAAATTATGAAATATTACCCAATAATTGAAAATAATGTTTGTACCCTTATAAGTACATGTGGAGTACATTGTACATAATTTAACCAAGTTTATATGTTTATTTTTTATTTTTAGAACATAACTTTTATTTATTCTATGAATATTTACTGAGCATGTACTATATCTGACACTGTGACAGGCATCAGATAAATAACAGTGAACAAAACAGATGTCAACACTATCCTCATGGAGCTTTAGGGCTATCCTGGGAAACAAATACTTGCTTTAAAGTAGTGAACTGAAAGGGGAGAAAAGGGTGTCATTGAGAAGAAATGGGAAGCAGTTATCGGATTGAGGGAGGCATGTCCCTATGCCAGGTAACAGATGGTCTTTGTTTGTTCCAAGCTACTTCATGTCTACTGTTTTCTAAAAGTTCTTATAGACAATTGACAATTTAAAACATGAGTGGTTACAATTTCTGTGTACTATTCAAAATCACCAACTTGCAAAAAATTGAGCTTCTGTCCATTAAATAATATTAATTGCTCTTTGAAAATTGAACTTATTATGATACATTTAAGTAAATAAATTTGGGTACTTTTGATAAAGTCTATAAATAAGTTTCTAAAAGTTTGGTAGATTCTTAGGTAAGTCTTTTAGGTCCCCAATTGTTATATAAGATTTAAATGCCCATCAAAGGGCAGGCAGGACAAAAGGACACTCAGTTGAAAGGCAGAAGTCTTTAGAGTTCCAGAGGAGGAAAAGACTCCAGGCCATGCTACAAAGGGGGCTATACCAGGAAAGCATAGCAGCAAGGTGGACTTGTATGGTCAGCTTCTATATGACAAATAGGGTTGGGTTAGCTAGGTTCCTAGGGCTCTCTGTGAATTGACTAATTTTAGTAATTTCTCAGACTACAGCTCATAAGGGCTGTCCTAAGTCATCTGGTACCTGATCTCTGGACAATCATGGTGGTTGCATAGGGACCTAGGAATTTGAGAGCTTTGGACAAGAGTTGGTGAGGTATGCACTTACTCAAGTAAGAAAACTGACCAACCTCTTGCCAGGGCCTCAGACCTGGGACACAGTGTATCTTTTTAAAAAGTTTTTTTTTAAAAAGGGAGTGGACTGACAATTCTCAGGGGGGAAGGAGGTCTGAGGGGTGAGGGAAGAGATTGGAAAAAAATCTTACACCTATGGATGAGGACAGTGGCAGGGGGTAAGGGCATGGGGTGGGGTGGAGAATCAGCTATGGGGGGAAAAAAGAGGAACACCTGTAATAATATGAACAATAAAGATTTATTATATATTAAAAATTTTAAATCAATAAGCTAATTGGTTATGTCCTTGAAAATGTGAGTTGTATTATTGAAAAATATACTCTTTATTATGCTTTGGTAAATTTTTATTTTGGGACAACATTAAACGGAAAAGTTTTTTTGTTTTGTTTGTTTCTTTGTGTGTGTATGTTTTAATTTGGGCCTACATATCACTACTAGTAATTGCATGATATTAAAATTTAAAATAATAAGTTTTATTTAGGGAAGTAATAATACTTGCAAGTTGTCTTCTATAATGTTTGTTTGTGAATTAGTAGAAAGAAAGAAAAACACCATTTTTTGGTGATGAATTGTTAAAAAGAGCATAGTCATTCCACTGGTTCCCTTAAATAGTCCCTGTCCTTTAAAGTTTATAATCTGAAACATACTTAACACTGAATAGTTTCCAATTTGTTTCTCTCATTATTAGAACCTATAAATGAAATTTTTAGGTACTTTTTATTAGGGATTTTTTTAAAGGAGAAAATATTCTTTTAAAAGCACTGATATTGAGGTCTGGCTAGTGTTTCGGAGTGGTTTGACCATCAGCCCACTGGCC